GCAACCCCTGCAGCGCTGGCCTCCTCCTAATCGGCCTCCAGAGCCTTCTGGAGAACGGCCGCTAGGCCATGTCTTTTCAGGGGCTCGGTGGGTCGGCAGGATTGCTGTAGCTTGGCACCCGCCCAAACCACGGGCGACACAGGGCTTGGTGTTCCGCATTCAAAATACGTTGGAGTATGGCACGGCGATTTCGAGTGCTTGAACGGCCCGAAACAAGAGTGGACTGCGCCGCTTCGTTGTCGACGTAAAAGACACTGTAGGTGTCCCTCAACAGGCTCATCCAGGCTTCGAACGCAACCATCACCGCTGCAAGCTCCACCTCGTATATCGGGTGATCGGAATCACCCAACAGCCTTTCAAGGTCTGTTCCAGAGATCTCTGCAGAAAAATGTTGGACAGCATTTCCAGACTGGTCATAAAGCACGCCCCCGATCCCAGCTACCGTGTCCAGTCCAGGTTCGAACGATAACGAGCTATCAATGAACACGTACATGTTTCGCCCACTGGCTGGGCAAAGTCTCAAAGGCGGCGCGGTCTCCAAGTGGTTTTTGAAGGTGAGGATGGCGTGCTCCACGCTTCCATCTAAGGCCGCGCTTGCGTCCCGCCCCTGAGCCCGCACCGAGAGCCGACGCATGGCGTCACACGGGGCTCTGACGAACAAATAGGAGTTGAACCAGTGCAATCGCCCACGAAGAACTTCCGCCTGCTTGGCACTCAAGCTTCTACCTTCAAGGATCTGCTCCAATGTGCCCAGAATCTCGGCCCTCCGACTATCGGTGTGTTTGATGGTAACCACGCCGGAATCAAACTCGCTGAGGTCGAACAAAAGGCCTAAGGCGGCGAAGACCGATGAAAACTTCAACAGTTTTCTTGCCTGTCTTCGCGTACTGCACATCCAGCAGACTGAACAACTGATCCACTAGTTCTTCCATGTCATCACACGAGTCTCCACAAACTCAACACTGGAAAATCATCAAACTACGCCAGCCATGGTATGTGCAAGGAGTGAAGACCAAGGTGTCTGATGGCGTTCGAGACCCTCAAGAAGCCCGCGACACTCCCTGTTGCTCCAAACGTGAGAACGTTGGTTCCGAACACAGCTGGCTCTCCGCGCTCAACATCAAAAACTCCCAATCTGACGTGCTCACAGTCCAAGGGATGTACAGGAAAGAACTTGTGTGCGCTGACCAGGTCATACGTTTTGCCCATCAACTTGGTTGACTGGCCATCAGTGAGCGACATGATTTCCAGAAGAGCAGCAGCTATGGTATCAACCCCGTGAAGCAGAAACTTCTCCGGGAGTCCACACGCATCATTCAACCCGCTCATTTTCCATTGTCGATCACCCTCACCTTGTCTTTTTGTTGAAGGCCAAAACGGCGACACAGTACCACCTTGTTCGGGTCATAGCTGCGGTCTCGAAAAATCCAACCTCGATGTTCTTCCTCACAGGTCTCTCGCCAGGCGCCGGTGGAAGCCTCATCCACGACAGTCTTGCCAATCGCCTGCAAAGTCAAAGGCGTTCGATAAGATGACTGAGTCAGTAGGCTTTCAAGCTGGCGGTAGGAGGTCGGAGGTGTCTAGCGAATAACTTGGTATCAGGCATCCATCCCGTCAGACGGAATCCTTGGCACACGTCCCACCAAAGGTTCTTGTCTGGGAAATCACTATCCAGCAGAATCCGTTTCCAGAAGACGAGGTTCTTGTCGCCCAAGATCTTTCGAATATACTCCGGGCGATCCTGCAGTATCTCTGCGTTGTCTTGGGAAGTTTGTTCCTTCACCTTTTTCCATGCCGCAACGGTTTCCTCAGCTTCCTTCGTCCGAGACAGCTTCGGATAAAGGACTGCCTTGGCCACTTCCTTCGCGGGCCCTGACCTACAGACAGAAAGCATGTCCCTCGGATGACCTGCTCTGATTGCCTCGTTGACGAAGTCTTGGGGCTCTCGGGGAATTCCAATTTGTACCAGTTTGGCGCTCTCCGCACAACCATTGGATGGCGGGATTTCTCCAACCACTTTGCACACATCAGCAGGGTCTTCAGCAACGCAACCCATCTCAGTGTTCAAGGCCTGATGATCAAGCAGAGGGCACATACTCGGCAAGCAAACCCGCACTACACCCCATGGCACAAGTTTGCGGCGCACCACGCGAGCGCCTTTGGGATAGGCTCGCAGCAGCAACTCGATAGCCTGGCCGGTGATAGGTACAGCCCAAGAAGTGTCGTAGGCCACAAACGCCGACACCAAAGGTTTGGCATAGCGAGGCTGTCGTTGCAGTGAGACCTGATCAGGCAAAGGTACCTGGTAGGCAGTGTTAGCCAGCTCAGGGTATTCAGCGGCCAGAAGGTGAGCCATACGTTCACATAGCAGCCACGGATAGGCAGCTTCATCATCGGCTGTCGGGTAACGCCAACTGCCGTTTTGCCAGACTGGCTTCCAACTGGCATGAGGGTGGCTGCCATCACAAAGAACACCGAAGGATGTGAAAAGTTGAGTCGCTCGCCCAGAACAGAGTGGTTCGTTACTTTCTCTGCCACACACAAACCAAGGCT